TCGTTCCACCTGATCTAATCTTTTAAGCACCTTAACTTTTATTATGCTTATAGGCTTGGTAGTTTTGAAGGCAAGTAGACTTCCGAAAACAATGAAAACTCTGATCGTAGCCGCCTTGTTTTGCACCATCGGTATGGCGTTAGCCGACGATACTCCCCCTCCACCACCATTCTTGGCCGGTGCACCACAAGACGTCGTGAAGGCTTTCTTCGAGTTGTTGAAAAAAGACGAGACAAAAACCGATCCTGAAATCGAGAAGGACCTCGATGCATGGGTAGACACTCTTGGCGGTGATTACAAGGTTAGTGCCAGTGACTGATTCCGTTTGTGATCATTTGTGATTTGTTTACGCATTTGTTGTTACTACCACTGTTTCAGTCCACATCGCGATAACGTTATTATCACAACAATCTTATTGCAGTCTTTATTAGTTGTTCATTTTGGCATTGCTATTAGTTGATGTGCAACAAATAATTGTGGAATTTAAGCGTATGTTACATACTGACAGATTGAGGCCTTCAAATGCTGATATGGATGATCTAAATGATTGATTGATCTGTTGATCTGCTATATCGGCAAAACTGATCTGTAGCATTTTCAAAATTGTGAGTGATCATTACGAACTATTGTCACCAAAGGCATTCATGCATGAATCAACTGTGTTAGTGAATCAACTTTAGAGTTCATTAGTCTCTCTTGAAAGTATGAACACGTATCCGCATAAGTCGCATGCTAATTATAGTTGATAAACTAAGTGATTTGAAATATTTTATCTTTTTCATGCATTTCTCCTAGATTATCAGTCCGAATCCAAACTGATTATCGCTATTCATCTTTTTTTTCACTTGATATTTTATTCATGGTCTCTTGTGTCATATCGGCTTTTGGCGGGGTGGTTTCCCATTCATTTTGAGAAGACTAACATTAGACATCAAAGCTCCTGTAGATCCTTAAGCAACGCTTCAAATTCTTCAGGCGAAGTTCGAAACGTTCAAGAAAGAAATGAAAGCAAAAGAGGCTGAAATGGCGAAGGCTCATGAGGAAGCAGTCGCTAAGATGACTCCGGAAGCCAAGAAGGCTGATGCTGAGCTGAGCAAAATTGCAGAAGATGACAGCCTGAATGGCATCCAGAAGGCTAAGAAGATCCAGGCAATCTACAAAAGTGAGTCTTTCAAATGCAACTGTAACGAAGTTTTCTTTTCAGTCACATTTTTCAGTTCCCCATTCCAGTTTACCTTATTCGCTAATTAGCCAGATATAGCTAAAGCTGAGACACAAACACTGTATTGTTTAATTACGAGTCGTACAAGTGCAGACCAAAGTTGAGACTAAAGGTCTCTGATGTTGGAAACGTTTCCATACATTCATATGTTCGGTGTTCACCGAATCATAAAACTCGCAATACACCGATCACAATTTCATCAAACTCGATCTGAAGTAGTCTCTCTATAAACTGGTGAAAATTTTTGACGAAACAAATGAGTCAAGGAAGATTTTTTGCTGAATGACAGTGAATGACAAATTTATCAGTTTTCATTTTTTGTGGCGCAATATCAAGTTGTGAGCGATGATAATACGATAGCGATAGAACGTCTTTAATCATACTGAATGTTTAGCAGTCAGCAAGTAATGAAGTGATAAACCTTCTAAGTTATTTTTGTATCATTTTTTGCTCGAAACACTTACTTCCACAAAACGAATAACCGGTTTGGTTACAGTATGGATAGGTTACGAATATTTTGTTTTACTTATGAATTGATGAATTATCAATCAATTGAGAGATTTCTCTCGAACATTTTGTGCTTTTTGTTAATTTACTCAACAACCCACTGTATTGCTCAGCAAGAATTTCAATGAGACTGTTCTTCGAAGTGAAGTGTTTTTTGCAGACATGGAGAATAGAAATGAACAATCTCCACTGGAATGTTAAGGTAGAAACTATTGAATTTTAGGTTGACATTTGAAGTGGAAGTGAAGGCTGAAACAATGAATTGAATCTAGTTCACTGTAGTTGTCATAAAATTAAGAATTTCATATTTTAGAATATAATAACAGTTAAGTGAAGATCAGTAGGTGTGCAAGGGTCATGAAAATCTCCATCAATAGATTTATTGAAAGATTCTAGGTTCAGCATTGTGCTCAGACGCCCAG